ACAAACCTCACACATTCCACTGAAGCTCCAGCGCTACTCTCTGCCGCGTGACATCTGTCCTTGAGCCTCTTAATGGGCTGGACCCAAACTCCAGATGCCACCTGTGAATATCACACATTTCAGAGGTTTTGGGAGCTGAACTCAGTTCTCTCTTTTTTAATGAAAATAAGGAGGCATCGGAGCATGAAAAACTAATAAGCAAATGATGATGGATGTGTTAAAGCAATTAAAATGAATCACCACAGATCCCTGTTGGATCTATGCTGACATTGTCGTGACACCCTCCATGAAAGCCAAAGAACCTTGAGATTGAGTGCTCAGTGAGACAAAGTCCACTTAAACATTTTTATGTTTTCTCAAAAATTATGTCAGAGGTTCAACTGAAGTTCCTCTTGAGCTGTTATTGGACTGTAAGGAGAGAACGCAAAACCTTTTCTACTTTCTTGCACGCTGCTGGGTCTGACTTGAACAGAACAAGGACTTGTATAAGCTCACAGTTTGCATAAATAATTGGATCTGAAAGTGTTCATTATATTTGCACACTTTCAAAGGACAGCGTGCAAATATATTTTTGTTAGTTTTTTAACCCTGTTTATCATATTTAAAGTACACAGTGCTCAAAACAATCTACTGTCAAAGACATCTAGTATATATATTTTCCTATAGCTGTGTTGAAGTGGGTTGCAAACTTTCAGCTGATTGGAAAGTTTGTAGAGAAAAGTTAGGATTCTGGTAAATAGAAATGGCAACTGCCGTTGACATGTACATGCTAAAATATGCTGTGTGCCGTATTTACTGTGTCTACTCGATCTACTCTAACATGCAGGGTGTCTTTGCATTCACAGCTTATTCTATGTATGGAAGGACTGGAAATAAATAAAAGCACACTATTCACTGTGATGAATTAGTTGCTCAACCACTGCAAATGTACCTGGAAGCAAAAACATTTTTTGGATAGAGTGGATGAACATGCACACGTGATATCATCAGATACACTTAGAGCATAGTGTTTAGTGGGAAACTATGTAATTAGAAAAAAAATCACTTTGTAACTCTTAAAATTGCAAAATGTGTCTAAAGATTGTCTGTGAATAACATCCAAGAACCTGAGGGAGGAAGCTGTGTGTGATTGTGTGTGTGTGGTATCTGGCATGGTCAGTGCCATTGCGTTATTTACATCCCAGAGGCTCCAGCTGTTTTTCTCTCTGCAGGAATGAACTTGAGAGTAGAGATGTCCCTGTGCAAAATAAAACCGGGAACAAAATGCTCGCTTATGTGTGTTTCAGGGGAGTCCAGTGTGTGTGTGTTCATGTTCTCAGTCGGTTTGTGTGCAGGGATTTTGTCCACGTGGAAACATATTGCAAAATGCCTTATTTTGCCGCAGTCTTGCCAATGCCGAAACGCCCTGCAAACAGTACATGCACAATGTTCACACACTAGGAAGCTTTCCCAGAAAATGACAGAAGATCAGATATGGAGTGATATGTTAAGAAAACATTTGTACTGCACCGAAATGAATAGAAAAAGAAAAAAAGAACGGAAGGTTGCAAACGGAAAAAGCTGCATAAATGTGGATTTTTCACTGTAGCGGTCATTTGTTTTTAGCTGCAGCCAGAAAATATGTATGCTTATTTTCTCATACCCCTAGTGGAAACAACAGGCCGGCCTTCTCAGAGCTTCATGAGTATAATAATGCTGTGTGCAAACTCCTCAGGCCAGCACAAGCGTCATTCCATTAAGGGTGCACTCCGGTTCATTGCAGCCTGAGATCAAAATTAAAACTTTATCAACCCTGCTTGTAATTGCCCGAGCACATCTCAGGTCATTTCATTTAAACTTATCCGACTAATTTAACCAAGCCTGCACACTAAAATAAGTCAGTGACATTACAGATTAAGGCACTCGAACAACCACTTGAGCATGAACGGCATCAGCAGCTGACTGTTAAGAGGTTGTAGGTTATTATAAAAGCCCGTTTGTGAACAAAATAGATAATTTGCAAAGAAAGGGTTAGAAAAGGTTTTCTTACGTAGTACAATAGTCATAAGTAATGGCTAAAAATCTGTTTTTCTAATCTTGTCTCTGCATTTTAATGATAATACACTCACAGGAGTTACTGCTGAAACCTTGGGGCCACATCACTATAGCAACATTAGATCAAAGCAAAACCTCTCTTCGGATAAATTGTGATAACCTTAAATCTCAGTGGGGCTGGAATAAAATATTTTTTCCCTCTTTCAGTGATCATTTGCAAGTAGTTGCAACAATCAATGAGCGTCCATCACCCTCCACCATTTAGGTCACAAGGCGGATCCACTGGTCATCTGTTGGGAGGCAACTTGACTCCAAACAAACGTGGTCCAACTCCAACTAACTGCGGTCACTCTCAGACAGATTGGCAAAGGTTTTCAAATAATTACAATCTAGTTTATAAATGGAGACAAGCTATAAATAGACACATCGCTATCAGTCTGAGTAACTTGTATGTCATGCATGTCTTGCAAACTTGTTGAGCGTCTATGTCAATTTTTGGAAGAATTTCAGAACTTCTTTTCAAATTTATGACATTCTAGCTGGATTCTCAATGCAAGTAATTAATATAAATTTCTGCTTTATGTGAATTTCTGTGTAAATGTAGAGCAACAGATTTGCAGATATATCACAGTTAACACTGTGTTGTTACAAATTGCATGTAAAAGCACAAGTAATTTAAGCAGGCTGACTCTGGCTGTGCTGCTGTCCTTTGAGGACAGCAACTGGTCCCCATCTTCGAAGTAACTATTTCAAAGGTAACAAGAAGGCAAGTTTTTTTTTCACACGGTCATAGTAATTTTGTTCTTGTTCTTGCATTTTCTGCAATCACTGTTTTCCCTAGTGTGACTGTAGCATAAGGTGATTGGGTTTTTTTTTTTACCTCAAACTTCTCATACTGCTGAACATTAGAGTGTTTCTCCAGATCAGTTAAATGGCTATTCTTAGTAATTAATACTCATCAAAGGTCCAAACTAACAAAAATAATCGTCAGCACAGGCTAGAGATGGAGCACATCGGTCAGTCCTGGTGTACTGTGAGGAAATAAAACTTCTTCAGGCATTGCACCGTTTACTTACCTGTTTGTTTCTCCTAGCCTAATCATTTGTCTACTAACTGACCCCTGGAGGGCTTTGAACTCACAACACCGATCATGCGATTTCTCTGTGTATTTTCTCATCATTGCTTTTGGCCTTGAGTTTGCTGAAAACAGATGCAGTGTTTCACAGCTCTCCTTCTTTCAGCGATTATCTGTGTTTCAACTCTGCGCTCGGCGGGATCTCATCCCTGACTCATTTAAAAGCTATTAGGAGGGCAGGGACTGACAGGGGAACATTTATTTTCCTTTAGCGGTAGATCTAAGGAGGAGTGCTCGTAATAAGCGCTGTCTCACAATTAAACAATGTGATCCTAAGTGACATTTTTAACTGGAACCACACATTTCCACTCTCACATTGTGTTTTTATGTAGCATTCTGGGCTGTGCTTGGGGGAGGCCCAGCAGCAAACACAACACAAGAGCTGTCAGTCACACTGAGGTTAAATAAACCGAGCGGATATTGGTGCCAAAGCCAACAGGCGGGGCAGCAGTATGGTGAGGAAAAAAAACAGAAAAATCGACTTTAAAGAGTACACAGCAAATCAAGTGTGGCCAAACACACAGAGACAAATCCTGCCATTTCCACTGTGTTTTACCTCTTTCCACTCTTCAAAGAGCTCCTGAAGGGCTGCGGTTTTCATACCGGAATCTCAAAACAAATGTTAAAAATCAGTTACAACATCCGGCGTTCAAACAATAAGCTGAGTCCTCGTGGGTGGGACTGTGTGTACAAAATGTCTGAGTTTTGAAAGGAAGACTGGGCACTGGGTCTTTCTGTGCATTGCATCACAGAGTTTTCATTCAGAATAGCAAGTCACCGTGATCCTGAAATTTGGACAGATGCGGATAAATGTTTGGAAGGCCCCAGTGCGCCAGCCAACAGTTGGATGTTTGGGATGGACTGCCAGGGTTAATTTACCTAACTGAGTTCCTGTTGTTATGCCAGTTTTTGTGATTGAACTGAAATGAACGTGTATTTGTTTGTAATCCGGTCCCAAACCAATGTCAAGAGCAGAAAATAGGCGTGAATATCCTTTAATGTCACTACAGGCAGGACTTTTCTCTGAGGCCAAGACTCTCTCTCGAGGGGTTCCACATATAACGCATTACATGCATTACATGCAAGCACACAATTGTAAACTTCACTGTAACCGGTGCACTCCGTTTGCCAGGCACTGGTGCCAGTCAAAATATGCCTGAAACACAGGATATAGATTTTCTGTCAATTGCGGGAATAAACATTTTAACCAATCAATACCGGAAGGCGACTTTCCATTCTCCCCATCTGTGACTAAGACAGAAAAGAAATAGTGGAAAAGATTAAGCAGAACCCCTCCCCCCCTTTTTAAAAAAAGGAGAACAAGGAATGAGCAGGAGGGGGGTAGAAGGAATAAAACAGAAAGACAGCGTTGTGCAGCCGAAGAATAAAAAATGTTTAAACTTGGAAAGACAAAAGAAACTTAGCTAAAACCTTCCAGCAAAAGTTTGATGAAAAAGGGGGATCTGAGCTGAAGGAAAGAGTTGCTTGCGCTTCGTTAGTGTGAGGCTGACCTTTGCCCGCAGGTGTTGAGATGTTTCTTCACTCCTCTGCTGTCTTTGAGAAAATATCAGGCCACTCTCGCCGCTCCTCCTTCTGTCTACACTCCTGAGATTTTAACTAAGCCTCAGTGTCAATCAGGATGTTATCGCTCATTTATGGCCTTATGAGCAGGCTATGATGGATCTACTGTACACCTCTTATACACACATACACACAGAATCATGCTTACAAATAGACACTAATACAAAAAGCTGTGCGCACCAAAAAAAAAAGATGAAAGAAAAAAATATTCATAAGATCGTTGAAAACTTTGAAAAATGGATGTGCACAGGAATCATTTTACTTATTTATGATGAAGCACCGCACATTTTCCTGAAAATATAAATGGGTAATTCTTTGCACTTTGAAAGCTTACAAGGAACAATCCTTTGATGGTTTCTGTCTTATTTCAGGCGTGCTTACTGAACAGAATGACTGGGTGTGCATCTGAACTTAGTGAGAGTGGTCTCTGCCTGTGCAGCTACCCTTGGAAAAACCCATAAAACTATTTAAATGGTCATCAAACCACATATTTATTGATACATACTGAGGTGTCAAAGCTCATGATTAATGGTGCTGGGAAGGTTGTCAAATGTCGTCTTTATAGGGGAGAGAGTTAGGAAGAAAATTTGAAATCAAGCTGTTTAGTTGATAACTGATGTTACAATTCTTCATAAATTAATACCAATTTTAAGAAAACCATGACATTTTTGGTAAGCAACAAACTTTTAATGTTTCATTGTTAGATGGTTGCAGATGTTTCAATGTTTCATTGTTCTGTTACTGAACTGTTGTAATGAAGAAGGGTCGATTAGTTACGGACAATTTTGCATTAGTCACGCATCCATCAAACAATTCTTTGGCTAAATAAAGACTAATGTTTATAGAAATTGTCAACTTTATGCAAACAATGGTTCAGTTATGGTTTGGGTGGTATGTGAACAAAACAGCCTACCAGCTGAATATTCAGTGTCAGATTAACCTTCATGGTTCAGTTTTGAACTTTATGCTGCCTACAGCTTTCTGTTCACTGCCCACTCTGCACTGCATGGGAGACAGAAAAAGTCAATATACATATACACTCACTGGACACTTTATTAGGCACACCTTGCTTGCACTGGGCCTTCTATGTTCATGGCATAGATTCAACAAGGTTCTGTTAACATGCACAGTTGCTGCTCACATCCCAAAGGTCAGATTGAGATTTGGTAACACTCTCGGGTAATACAGGGACGGACATGGTTGGCAACAATACTGAGGTAGGTTGTGGTGTTTAAATGATTGGCAATTATGAGCCTGAAATATGCCAATTATGAGTTACTCTTCTATCAGCTTGCAGCAGTCTTCCTAGTCTCTTCTGACCTTTGACATAAACGAGGCACTTTAACATAGCAAGCTTCAGCTTACTCTTTTTCAAACTGTAGAGATGATCCCTGTTCTGAAATACTCAGACAACTCTGACTGTGATTGGAGCTATAACTAACTAGGACACAATAATTTTATCACACAGACGCACCTTTACCATAAGAGTTAATTTTAGGATTAAATAAGTAGAGTGAACTACTTTTTGTATTAAAACTTACTTTTCATTCTGTTATTCAGTCAAAACAAATGCACGGACATTTAGAGAAACACATAAAACAAATTTCAAGACCACTGCACCAAACTCAAAGAGCATCCTATTCCAACTCAAGTTCTTCCTGTTGCTATTCTCAGCAATGCGTACAAGAGAGACAGCGAGAGATCATATATCACGAACAAGCAAAGACACAGCACAGACTGAGCTTATAAACAACATGAACTGTAGCTACAAACAGCAGCCTGGAGTCAAAGGCAACGTTCTTTTTATCAGCTTCATCAGATATTTTATTCATCTCTTGGAGACAGTTAAAACTTCACTCAGCAGGCTTTGAATAATAATCAGCTTTGGAAAAAAAATATACATGTAAAAAGTACATAAATCCATTTTAATTAGTATGTAAATAAGCTAATGTAAACACACAATTAGCATCAAGATAAGATATAAATTCCTCTTTCGCAGCAGCACCGCTGGAGACTTTGTGGATCAGGGACTTCACTTCTTGTCGTCTCGCTTTGTTTACACACACATCATGCAGTATTAAACATCAATGCGGTTTTATTCGCCCTGAAGCAAAACAACTCAACTCAAAGCAAGTCAAAGATGCTGGTGCCAGACTCTACACATCATTATTGTCTTTTATATTTTTAGGAAGACATCATATTGCACTATTGAGTAATCTCTCACTTGTAACAGCATAATACACATATGTTACTTCTTGCCGATGAGCCCGTGTATCTAAATGAACTAGCTGCAGTCCCACATACAGTACAAGATAAATACATATCACGGTAGAATTTACATACTGAAATGAACTGTACATCATTAGATGGCTGTTTTTCTGAGGTTATCTTGATAAGTAGCTTGACTGAGGCTCAAGTATCCAAAGTGAAGGCTACTCTCGCCTGTGATCATTTATTTGTATCTCAATGGACATCTTTTTACAATAATATATTTAATGCTTTATCATAATCTTTACTCCCCTGGCAGTCTTCATGAATCAGTCATTCCTGAAAGGACAAGCTACATTAAGTATAAAATAGCACACAGTGCTTCTTCTTGAAAATAAATGCAATACTTTTGATCAGTCTACACCAACACACATACCCACATGCTGACACACTTAAAACAACACCAAAAGCCTACATCCATGCTAGCTGCTTTGTGGGGCTGTGCTTAGCAACACTTAATTGGTTAAACTAATTACCAGTGTTGGCATGGTAACATTCCCACAATGGCAGCGCTTAATTTTTAGTAGGTAAAATTCTTACCATAGTAACATCTAGTAATTTACACTAATCTCAAAGAAGAGATGATGTTGATGGGATTTCTGTTAGTGTTTTCTCATGAACAAATTGAAACCCGATGATGGTGCTAAATAAAAAGTTCATTTATCACAAAGTTATTACGATTCATCTTGCGGGGAACATGTTACTTGATGGAAATCTGACATTTCTTGAAGCTGTTCATTCAAAGTCATATTGTGACAGTGAACCAACTGCTGGAGGATCAGTAAAGCTATAAACCAGCATCTCCAAGCTATTTGTGCTGATTCCTATGTTTTACATATTATGATAAAATTAAAAAAAAAAAAAACATCTGTTCCTTACCAGGTTTTAAAATTATATAAATACAACCTCACAACAACACATGACATATTACACTGTGACTTTTTTTATTTAAACACATTGCTTTCACATTGCTTCATTTGAGTGAGATGAGCTCTCTTAATAATTTCAATTGGGTTAAAGTCTAGGCTTGGACTGAATCATTGCAACACCTGCATTCTTTTCTTTTTCAGCCATTCTGTTGCAACGAGCTGTAGTGGGAATCAGATTTGAACAAGCTTTAGATGTCCACCAGACAGCCTGTCCAACATTTGAATCTAAAATATTTTTGATATACAGAAGAGTTCATTGTCAAGCTCATGCAAGGAGCTACAAGCTCCTCCACTGTATTAGCATGAAGTGTTCCTCTTTGGTCTCATGTATCCAAAGGACATTGTTCCGGAAGTCTTTGTTCAGATCCAGCTTTGCAAGCCTAAGCCATGCAAATTAATTTTAGAGAGAAGAGTGTTTCTCCTGGAAACCTTTCTAAATAAGTCATATTTGTTCAGCCTTTGTCTAATTTTGCTCTCCTGAACTTTAACATATAACCTGCTAACTGATGACTGTAGTGTCCACGGTGTAACTCTTTGGTTTTCTGTAGTTTCTCTGAGTTTGGAGTAGATTTGCTGGGATCTCCAATCCTGAAAAGACTGGACGCAGTCTTTAATGCTGTCTGCTTGTGAAAAATCTAGTAGTGTGGTGGACTTGAAATAGTTTGATAATGGCCTTATAATGCTTCCCACATTGATTGGCAGCAGCAATTACTTCTTTAAGATCATTGCTGATGTCTTTCCTTCTTGGCATTGCATTAACACATACCTGAATGCTTCAGACCATCAAACTACCAAAGCATCTGCTGCTCACACTCACTGATGATCCATTAATCATGTACATTTGATTAGCAGCGCCTGGATCTGAATTCTCTAAATTCTATGCAAGCAGTGTGTTTTTTACACAGTCTGCATTAAGGATTCGTTTCTGTTAATAAACGATAACACTGCAAAGTATCTCATGTATTTCTGTTCATCTGAGGTTGTATTTTGTTTATTTTAAGACCTGCTAAAGATAAAACTTTCCATTATATCCTGACATGTGAAAGAGTGTGTACTTTCTTTTTCACATGAATGCACTGCCAAAGACTAAATGAGAGCATATGGCACTGAAGTTCTACTGGGAGTTGAGAAACAGCAAACAGAATGACAGAACTGGGAATCAGAGGGTGAATGGACACTTTGTCAGGCTACCTTTCTGTGAACTGACAAATTGTATTCCCCTAAAAAAGAGTCATTACGCCCATCACTAGTCTGTAATCCCACACATCAACAATATTTCTCCAAGAACCTTAGCCTATGTATTTTGCACATTTCCCCTGAGGATCTTTAACACCACCCTTTTCTATACCTCCTACACAAAGTGACAATATTGTTATAATTACCAACAATATCATAAGCTACATTGTTAAGACTTGTTACATATGATACTATACAGCAGCTCATGCTGTACAGACAATTTGATCGTCCACTTCATACCCAGATGTAGACAGATTGTGAAAACGTGTATTGATACTGGACATCAGTGATTTTGGGGGGGAAGAAAACGGCTTCATGGCAATCCCCATCCACTTGTTTGTGTGGCTAAACATTGACTAGCATGTACATTACAATTCATCTCCTGTACAGTTCATTCACACTCTGTTGCACGCTCTTTTTTTTCTTTATACATTGTCTAATGAGCTCCTTTATCTGCTTATTGGCAGTGCTGAGTCATTTTAAAGTCGGTCAGTCCATCAGCCCCAGGCTGGATATCCATTCCACCGGGATGAAACATGAAGGCATCGCATCAAAAAGCACAGGAGGCTTAACACAAGCACAACTGAACTCAACTGCTGTGGTAAAAATCTCAATCAACTAGTTAATAAAATGTTATGTTGAAATTAAACTACTTACTGGAATGAAGCCAACATGTAATCGTTTCTGCAATGACTGTCCAGTGAGTAGTTTAACTCGACATGGCTCTGGTAAAAGTGCACAAGGCTATTTTCATGCAAGGGCTCTCTGCAGAGCAGTTTGCTTCTAGCCCACTGTGTTAAAGAATAAGCAAAACCTACACTCTCATGGTTTATTAAGAGACATGTATGTGTTTATAAAGAAAAAGACTGAAGACGGTAAAAGATGAAGACCAACACTATGGTAACAAGAAATAAAAAATGAAAATGAACCATGGTCAAGACAAACTTTTCTGAAAGGCCTTGTCTTTTGTTGGAAGATGTGTGGGCATTGTTGCTGTCTGTTGGTAATCAGCACGCTCGCTGCATCATATAATCTTAACAGCCTCCACATATACACACACATACATATTAGTCATACAGTGTTTCATTTCCCAAAGGAGAAATAGTTTTTATGTACTGTATTGTATTGTACTGTAGTGTGATATTGTGAATAAGTAGTTAGATATATGTGATAGATGATAGATGGATATTTTGTGATCAAACATAATGGTTTTTTTTAATCTAAAAGGATCTACAACTTATTCTTTATCTTACAAAATGAAAGATTCTTTATTCTGCATCAACATATTGCGGTATATATCAGTTAAAGTCAATAGACAGTTCTTTAAATCCTTGCTTTTGTGTGGGTTTAGGTATTGAACTTTGTGTGGCTGGCCCTCTTGCACACATCTATACTCACATATAAATATGCATTTGCCAATAACATCCACGCTGTTTCATGCGTGGAATAGGTGTAGAGATAAAAGACCGATGTCTTTCGATTTCTTCTTCTTCTGAACCAAACATGTCAGACTGACTCTGTGGCTTCTTGAAGGTACTGCTCCTTGATGTTTGATATTTTCTTAATGATCTCTGCTAAGCTGGAATAGATGGCACAGCCTTCAAGGGCCTGAGGTTTGCTTGTTTTCTAAATGAGCTGAGGCGTAGGTCGACTCCAACTCCAAGTCTACCAGAATCTGCTTGCATGCAGGGATGCCTGGCCACAATCTACAGGTGTGTATTTGTGTATATGCACGTGTGCACTCCCCCTCGCTGATATGTGTTTTTTCGAGTGCAGTAAATGACATGGCTGTGTGCATTTCTATGTGCAAGTATGTGAATATGCAGGAAGCGAGAGAAAGAAAGTGAGAAACAGAGTGTGTGTGAGCGTGACCTACAGCTGTGATGTGGATCACTTGTATCCACTGTCGTGAATGAGAAGAATAAATAATTTAAGGTGCTCTCTGTTAGCCTTTTGATATTGAAGCCAAGTGTATGTGAACGGAGCAGAGAACCAAGCAGTCCCACAGCTGGCCTAATTTGCCAGGATTCAAAGCAGCTTGACCTAAACCACCTGAGATGAATGCAGTCGTTTAGCAAGAACAGACAGCTACGAGTCTCCCAGTAAGGTGGCCATTTCCTTCCTTTCAGATTTCAGAGATGTTGCATAAAACCTAAGATTGCAATGTCAGTGCATAAACAGACAGACAAAGTGACCTCTCCTTGAAAAAGTCCCGCACTGAAATTTAGCCTAAGAAAGTGAAAGTCTGGAGAATCAGCTACAATGCAGAGATGGTGTGACTCATAGTAGCAGATGTGATGGAATGAGAGAAAATGTGAATGGAAAAAAATTAGAGCAAAAACAATCAATGAGTATTTTAGTTTGATAGCTCTTGGAGAGTGTAGGATATTTCTTCACAGAAACTCTGGTTGCTGTTATGTGTCTAACGATTAGAGTATGTGTGGGTTCTGTTGCACTTGTGTTTATTCTGTTTTGTATCCAGGGTGTGTTTTTAAGCCAGCTCTTCTTCTGGAGGTGATACATTGTCGGCCCCAGCAGAGAGAGCATGAATGTTGTGAATCACCTCCTCGCCTTTTTCTTTCCACTCGTCCTAGAACCTGGTGCTCTCATGTTTCAGCATGCGGATGTTGGTAAGTGTGCCGCTGCCCCTGTGGTGGTATCCGTAAGCCTGGTGCTGCCCCTCCAGTCACCGAGCGCTGCTGCCCGACGACATGGTGCTGCTGGGACTGGAGCCGCCCGAGCCCCGGTCTTCAAACACGCTGATCTCAAGCTGAAAATTTGATGAATGTCAAGGATCACTGTGCGTTGTCGACAAATTCCATGAGAATTTAAAGCAATACAGTTTTAGAAACCTCAGTAAGGTATTTCAACTATTTGGGCAAGCCTAATCTGACCTTACTGTTCTTCAGTGTAACCAGTGGTTTGTTCTAAATCCTCTGTATTTCCATTCATGAAGGGTTCTCTTGTTTGCAGACTCCTCCAGGGTCTCCTTGACTTGATTATATGCAAAGAAATTGTTTTTCTTAATTGTGGAAAGAACTCTGCAATCTTATAATTTAGTAGCCTTCTGTGGCCTTCTCCTGTTACTGTGCTGGCCAGTGGATTCCTACTTTTAAAGAAGAAATTTTGCTTTCTCTCTTTTTCATCTAAATAAGAGCTTCCTTCTCTTGCATAAACTTGCAGCTCTTTGCACATCAGCGAGTTCCAGCGAATGGCTACCAAACGCAAGTTCAACACCAGATTTTTTTATCTGCTTAGATTGTCATAAAATAACAAGGGAACATCTGGCTGTCGAACTGCTTGTCAGGAAATAGTGAAATTCCTTTTGAGCCACGGAGAATGGGAGACAATGTTTAAAAATTGCTTTTAATTCCTCAATGATTAAAAAATAATTTTGGATTAATGCTTTTTAGTTAAAGCAGAAACTCTGTTCCCTGATCACATCTCGTTGGTTTACTTAAAATCCACTGTGGTGGCGTAGCGACAAAAAGCGTGTCACTGTCCAGAAATGTATGAATCAAAGTTATCTGAACTCTCTGCTTACATTCATAAACCTTGGCAATGGTCTTACTGGACAGCGCTACTCTACTATCATCATATGTTGATTTTACTGTTAATAAAATGTTCACGAGGCTAAACTTAATTACTTGTGAAGGCTTCTACTATACTATTGAAAAGGTCTGAGAGAGTCGAGCCTATGGGCTCTGCTCTTTAACGTGGTCAGTGGATTTTAATGGTGGCCTGTCTCTGGCACATGTCTATATTATGTTTACTTGTGTTTGTAGCTACATGAAGGTGAGGAAGCTGAGCCCCCAATAGGAGGACAGCTTCTGAACCATATGAACTCACATCAGAGTCTCTTGAAAAATTCCTTCTGCATCAAGGAAACCTGAGCTTATTAAAAAAACAACATAACAATAGTCTGCCATGAATTTCTTCCTTCTGGGTTTCTCCTTCCAGAATTCGTCTTGTCTGCGTCTCCCCCTTTGTTTGTTTATGTATTACTTTCTTTGTAGGCCTCTTCTTTTTTTATTGATAATAACTTTCTCTGTATGTCTCTGGTTTCTTTGCTTCCATTGTTTTCTCTCCTTTGAGACTGTCTGCTTCATTTATTAATATCACCTTTTAATTTCAACCATTCGTTCTCTGCATAGCCACTCAGTTTTTTAAGAGTTGGTAATGGGTTGACCTGGAGCCCGTTTTTTTTCTTTGGGCAGGTGTGGGCCAGGACTGTGTGATGGTCTATTGGACACATTCACTCTCTCCATGTGTCTGTGCTGGTATCAGTCCAGCTGTCAAAAGGAGATATAGTGCTGTCCACTCCTGAAAATGTAGCAATTCATCTATAAAAGAACAGCCACATGAAAACTTGGAAATCATTAAAAAGGCCTTGATATAAAACTTTACTTCCGATTGACCACATTAATATTATTTATTTTTTATTTTTTGCATATTTCCATATCAAAGCACAGAACTTTCTGTTTTTTTCAGAGCTTTTTTAAGATTTACTCACGATAAAAAATAGTTGGCCAGTGAACAGCTACTCTGCAGCAGCTGGACTTTAAGTGTCTTGTTCATGGGCATCCTGATGGTAATTTATGAAGAAGTTTTTTTCATCCATTTGCTGTATCAAATCCAGATGTTTCCACCAGTTTCAATAATTCTAACCAATGTCTTTCCACGCCATCTTTAAACTGTCTTATAAATGTTGAGCTGTCCTTTCTGGGCCTTTATCCACTATCTATTTGTTGCACAGAGATTACAGTAACATATGGGAGGAGGATACAACCCTCATTCCTCTCTCTATGGGGTCTGTGAGCAGCAGACCTCGAGGAGCGTAGATCTTCTCATTCTGCTCCTGGATGAAACCTGATATCTTCCTCAGCACCTGGAATAAAACAAGGGGGGCAGAGAGGTATTAGAACAAGTACCTCTGGAGGTAATCCAGATTTGATTAGAAATGTTGGAGGTAAGATGAAAACCCAAGCAGGACAATTAGGCTACCATAAAAAAAATAATAAGAGAGAACTGAGATTCAGTACCTGCCGACTACTTTTTCAGGATGCGTTCTGTGTTACACGCGGTATCTAAAAGAGGTTAAATTGGCCCAAGTTACTTTAACCTTTGGAAAATATAAAAAATGAAAGAAACTAATTTGCAGTCCTTCTGCGCAGACTTAGCATGCGGCATATGATACCAGCTCTGTCAAATCATTGCCCGGCTTTATTTTTCCTGCGCATTAAAATCCAAACTTAAAGTAATTCCATTATGCTCCAAGTATAGCAGCTATTTTTTCTGCATACTTCCAAGCCACTCATGTCAAGCAGGACTGCATGAATTGAATTACTAAAAATGATGAGTATGAGCTTTTCTCCTTTTGAACTTTTCCATTTGGAAGCTTGAGTTCCTAATTCAAAAGATGGCTCTCTTTAAGGCTAAATGTCATGCCTTGGTTAACTGTCAAGGCTCTAAAATATGAAGTGGACAGTTTATTTAGATTGCACTGGCAGTGGACGTTTTTCTCGGTTTTGCAAGTGAGCATTGCAGCAACTGTGCGAAAACCACAGAGCAGCAGTGGAGTGAATCTGTGCGGTTCAGGCCATGCTTTGGCACACAGATTCAAACAAGCATGTCTGTATACATTCTCTCATTCATTGCAACTGCACACAAACCGTTTTATCTGGAGATTTAAATAGTGTCTACGAAACCTAAGAACTGAATGTTGTTCCAGCGATGCTGCTGATAGCAACCAAATGTCTGCAGACTGATGGCCAGTAATGCCAAACAGGCAGCTATTAGCTAAAGTGGGTTTATTAGAACGGCTTATTCAGCCTTAGCTATGCCTCCATGGGAACAAATCATGCTGATGTACCACGGCTCGCCTAAACTCTGCCAGTGTCATGTCGGCCAGCGCCGTGTTCCTCTGTGCCTCATTTGCACCCACAGAGCTGCTGCCGCTACACATGTTAACCAATATGTACAACTCTATTAAAGAGAGCTTATTTAAATTCTTTATGATTTTCTAGAGATGCTGTACATTTCCTCAGGTCTGAGGAGGAGACAGGAGAAGCATTTGCTTGCTGTGACTTCTTCCAACTACTACCTGCCCTGTTTTAACAAGGGCATTGCACAGATTTTATAATATTTGGCAGGGTGCAGACTCTCTCATGTCCAGCGCCGCTGATTCAGACATTTGCATTCCTAAGTACAGCTCTGCTGCGTAATGACTTCAAACTTTCCGAGCTGCAGTAAGTGTGAAAATGGTTCTATTGAACATGACAAATTCACATCCTTTTTTGTGAGTTAGCTAAAGGTCATTGCAGCACACAGCCTAGAGCGATTAAAACAACACTAAGCAGTTCACTGAGCACTGTGCTCCTCTAGTATGTCAAAGGCCTCGTACAGCTGCAGGCCCAGCTGCTTATACAGTGACCCTTGTTAGTGGAGACTAAACAACAGAAGAAATATTTTTTGTCTCCCATTGGAAAAAGATACTTTTGCAATAAAATGTCTGGAAAACATTAGGACATTGCGTTTCTCAGTGAAAAGACATTGAACTGAAGCCATTGAACTGAAGCCATCGAAATTCAGCGGTTTTGCCCCGCTGTTCTTTAAATCAGTGAGATCCATGTGAAATAGCGCTGAGCACAAAGCAATCAATATTTGACTTATAAGATATCCACACATTTCTTAACGCAACACAAACCATTTCCTTTGCTACAAACTCCAAGAGAATCAAGCATCGCGGTAAAGTGGCAGAGAGACACACAGAGGAGCCCTGACTAATCAGTTTACTGTGGTTCAGGGAAAAGGCCAATCCTTTCACTTGCTAGCGAGCTCTCGGGGCAGCTCAATCCTCTTCGGTGTAACAATATGACAGTCAAGTATCCAAGCTGTGCCTGTGTTGTACTGGCATGTGTGTGTGACAGCCCTTCTGGGAAAAGCTTTGTGTTTGTGACAGCATACGCACAATCCCCTGCTTATGCTACCAAATGCAATATAAAGGATTTTATGCGTGTGTACACGTGTCCTTTAGAAACCCATACTGTATGTTCAGCTACATTCTTGTCAATAATACGAGAAGAAAAGTAGAAGATGGAGGGCACAAAGTGTGCGTGAGGGAAGTCTTGTGAATGTTTTTACGCACATGTATCTGTTCTGACATGCTGGGAGCAATCAGTGTCCTTTGATGGTGTGAGATGTAAGCATCAAGGGACTCCAGTGAATCTGCACCCTGATCTGCGAGCGCTGTGTTGTGGGACTCGGACACACATGAACATGCAGCATCAACTTGGGTGGGTACACTTTATCATCATCAGTCATAATGTTGTTCAGCCAAGATGGCTGAGTTAAGCAAGCAAATAAACAACTCTCCTGAGAAACTGATAGAATCTCAGGATCTTAATGGGGCAGCACCCAGCTGACAGGGAGATGAAAAGAGCCTCAGACTAGGCAATTTCTGCATGGCTTCAACTCAGCAATAAGTCCTTTTGTACTTCTTGGTCAAGCTCCTAGTACCTCTGTAGTGCTTTGATGAAGAAATGTTTACAAAATGCAACAAGACAAGGGAGCTGACAGAGATCAGAACAGAGAGGAATGCTGAAAACTTCATGCAGCTCCAGTTCTATCTAAAACGGCGGCAGGTACACACAAAATCACAAGAGGATTAATCACGCTCGCTGTGTCTGCCTATGCGATTGTGTTATGTGTGCGTGTGTTCCTGTTCCATTTCAGTGACTAACAAGCAGCTACACAGCCATGCGGAGCTTTAACCACCTGCCCTTTGTCAAGATGGGCATCTTGGTTGCACTTTAGGTAAGCGTCAGCTGGCGTGCCATGTCTTATCCAGCGGCACACTTGTGTGGCCTTTAGAGTGAGTTTTAAACTCTGGTGGACAGACAGAGAGAGAGATTGCATCTCCTAGAACTGTGTGTTCTCTTCTTAAAGAGCCGGATGAGGCTTAATGTTTTTTTGAGTGGGAAAGAGTTGAATTCAATAGAAATTGACACATAGGGGAGAAAATAATACTTCTGTAAGTGGAGTTCATCACTGCGCATTAAAAGGTTCACCTTCATCTCACATTCTGAAATTCTGGGCTCTGTCCACTGAGGCATTTGTGTGCATCTTTTGCTGTTTTTTTTTCCAGGTTCCTCAGTCTCCTACCAAGGCATGTGGGATACGTGCAGCATGAATAATGTGCTATCACTTGTGAACTGTGTTTGGGTTTGCATGGCGTTTTCGCTATGCCTGTGCAATACCCAGAGAAGAGAGTGCAATACAGGTTGTCTTGTGCTGCAATTTAAAGACACATTCTAGTTCAAGATGTGGTTTCAGGTTTGAAAAGGGAGACAGTATAGAAGATGCTCACTGAACTCCATACAAAACATAAAAAAAGCTCATAAAGTGAGCCTGAGGAATAGATGGTGGCTGAATCAAAGTGTGCAGTAAACTGAAAGAATAGTTGTATTTACAGCAAAAGTCTGTTGTTTTACCTACAGCAGATCTTAAAGACGGTTAATGGAATAATAATTGTAATTTTATATTTAAAAGGCTAATTTTAACTCATTTTAAAGCTACAACCTCTATAAAAAGCAGCAAACTGAAACAAAAACATGACAAGTTACAAAAAAGTTGTAATTATACAGTATTTCCACCCAAAATGTAATATTTTGTGTACACAGACTTCTTACCTTTTCATATCGCGTTTCCATGCAGAGGAAGATGATATAAGCTGTTGCACAAGCCAGACATCCTTCCAGGTACGACTGACCTCCAATTTTTTCAGCCTCAGCATAATAAGAGTTAAGGGTCTTCACTGTCTCCTCAAGTAAAGTTCGTTCAATCTACTTATAAACAAAAACAAACAAGACCAACAGCGGTTGTAAGAATGGCACAAGTGAAATATGTTCTGTTAGCCTGCCAAATATGCTGCCTGTATTCTACTCAACCCAAAATACAATTTTTTCAAGGAATTAAAACAACAACAACTTTGATTACAGAATATGGAAAACCTGATGAACAATTACTTATAACTACGACAGCAATGTATTTTTTCCATCTGACAGAGAACATTTGCAGTAAATCGATGACAACTGATGTTTTCTTGCTCTGCTCTTTGTGTGGATTGTCTGCTTCATATGCAAATTGCTAGACAAATATTCAATAATACTCCTACATAACACCATTCACTAATTAAAGCAAGGTAAAGAAAGTAAAATTGCTCTTTAAATAAAAAGCACATTCTCTCACACAGTCTTTAACTAAAGGCATCTACTTTTGCTTTAACTGTTCACACATGCATACATTCAGGAGATGTTAGATGGGGAGAAACATATATATTACTTATACAACAGACATTTGCATCCATTTGTGGATGATGCCCTTGTAATTATTATGCATAATGTGTGCATTTCAAGTATTAGCTTTTTGCTTTTGAGGACCAGCATTACAGCAATTAGACGTTTCCTGGTTTAAGAAGCATCCCATATGCACAAGTGTTGTTTTAAGTGTATCTGCATCTATCTGTGAGTTTAGCTTAATAGACAAGTCTACAGTATGGGCCATCAATCTTTCTGTATCAGTCAAATTAGAGTTATATGAAGTGGGGGGTTATATTGCCTTTGTCTAGGTATTTGAGTTTGTGTTTGGACTCACCCTGTTGTCAAGCTCTGAGGGAAACTTGGCCTGGAATCGGCACACAGTTCCTTCACTGTAGTCTCTCTGTATAAACACCTTGGTGACCAGCGATGGACTGTGCCGGAGCTCCTGAAGGTTGTGGAACTAAGAAGTTACAAAACAGAAGAAAAAAACAGAAAAATTTATTTTGTGGTCAAGAATACATTTTAATTCATGTACAGCACTCTATGGCTATAATGATATATGTATATATTAAAATATATATATATATATATATATATTAATATATATATATATATATATATATATAATTATTAATTTATTTATTTATTTATTTTGAAAGCTTAGAGAGAGAGAGAGAGAGAGAGAGAGAGAGAGAGAGAGAGAGAGAGAGAGAGAGAGCTATAACCCAGACTGGTTTGTTTGGAAAGGTTGCCAAGAAGAGGACTCCTCCCTCTAAAACGAACATGGCTGTGCAGCTTAGGTTTGCCAAATTGCATCTGAACGAACCACAAGACATCTGGAACAATGTCCTTTGGAGGTTAGATGACAGCAACAGCACAAGCAGCGTATCTGCACAAACATCTCATACCAACTGTAAAGCATGGTGGTGTAGGGTTGATGATTTGAGCTTGATTTGTAGCAACAGGATCTCCTCCTCTGTCCTCTGATCTCCTTGTTTACCAAAGCATTAGTTAAATGTGAGGCCATCTGTCTGATAGCTAAAGCTTGGCCCAAATTGGGTCGTGCAACAGAAAAGTAATCCCAAGCACAGCAGCAATGGCTGAAACAGAAAAGAATCAAGATGTTGCAATGGTCCAGATGAAGTCCAGACCACAATCTGAATTAAATGCTGTAGTGGGACCTTATGAGAGCTGTGTATAAGTGAATACATGCAAACCTCAGTGAAATGAAGCAACACTGTGAGCCAGAATGCCTCTCCTATGATGTGAGAAACTGATAAAGTCACACAAAAGAAAAAGACAAAATACTTCAAGTTCTTGCTGCTAAAGGTGGCTTTACAAGCTGTTGAATCATGGAATGTTCTTAGTTTTTCACAGGACTGCAGAAATGAAAGTGTAAAAAGGCTTTTGCTGCACAATAAAATTTAAGTTTAAGTTTGAAACTCAAGAACTGATGCGATGTTAATGCACCAACATCTTTGACTTAAAGTAGCTGGCACTCTCATTGCTGTCTTCCAACATCAAAATTGATGTTGGAACATTAAAAGACTGGTCTTTACAGCACTTTGTTGGTGAACAGTGTGTTTTACACCCAGTCATTTACATTAAAAGCATACAGCAACAAGCAAGTGGGGCACTGTAAACTTATCCCCTGCTGATCTAAATTACTGTCCTCAAGAGGACGGTAATAAGGGATACGGTAAAAGTATGCAGGAAGAGGAGAAGGCAGAGAGAAGGAGAGAAAATAAGGTGGGAAATATGAGGTTGTGTCCACTTCAGACAGAACCTGAAATCATTTTATAAAAACACTATGGTTCACATGATAAGCTAAACATTTGTGCAGCTGTTAAGTTTTTTCTTTTTTTAAAGGCTTGGCCAGTTACAGCAGGGTCACTGTGACCTATATATTATCCAAGTACATGCTTGTACATGCAAGAGGCAGAGAAAGACTTTCCAAAAATTTGGGATACAGTGCATACGTCAATAGAGAATTCAATTTGCAGATCATTTCAACCTTGCAGTTATTTGTAAATAGTAGAAAGAGAACATATTTAATGAAACAGGGTTTTAAAAAGTCTAAAAAATTAACAAAAGTTTAAATGGAGGCCACAAAAGACTGAAAAGACATGTCATGCTAAAAATCTTTGCCAGAAATGAAAGGCAGCAGATGGAAATAGTTAGATTAGTTACAATTTAACAATAGCACTTCTTAGCATGAAACTGCAAGAAAGAATTCATGGATTTCATTATCTGTGGTCAGTAATGTGGTGAATTATAAATCAAGCAAAATGTCACAGACAATACTGAGTAGCTGGAACTACACCTAATTAAAACAGTCATTTTTAATTACATGCTGGTGTTGTAATTACATGGCTCATGAACACGTCTCAGAACCATGTCAGTGCATCCACAAAGTCAAGTAAAAACACATGTAACCAAGAACAGGAAATATATGAACAATATCCAGGAAACACTACTGTCTTGCCTAAGCCTCTGATAATTTAAAATAAATGAAGGTGAATCCTCAGAGTTAAGAAGGAAAGGGCCCTCCAGCCTGTTATCAGTGCAGACTTCAAAAAGCCTCCCTTAATGATGGCATAGTGCATTAGTTCACATGGCCAGGATAACTTGCACATCTGTACACACTATGAATGCTAAATAATATATTGAGATTTTGGAGCAACAGATGCTGCCTTGTGGACATGTTCTGTCAGCATGGAAAAAGCACATTCTACTGATATTATATCAGGATGTTTCCACGTCTGCAGTTTGGATCATTGGATCATAAAAAAATGACGAAGATAAACTGTTGAGGAGCTGAAATACATCAAGCAAGAGAGCTTATCTTATAGACCTTAGTATTTAAGTATAGTATTTACTGATAAATAATCAAGTTTAAATTACTTTAAAAACACTGCATCTTTTTGGCAGTAGCCAGACTTAGTACAGTGCCAGCCTTTCATCTCTATATATGGTGTATCACTCACGAGCAGGAATAGCATCCAAGCTGCTATTTTTGTCTGCTAACAGCCACAGTCATCCATCTCACAGCCAGAGCTTTTAATACACCCCCCTCCCCAAAACACACACACAGTTTTGGGGTTTTTTTTGCTTTCCCTGTCTCTCGCCACCACGGAGCCCTCACTCTTTCTAGTGTTATCTTCAGGCTATCATGATGAACAACAAGTCCTTCTATTAATAGAAGCAATTTACAGTTTCAGCACAGAGCTGAGCATCATTTATCCAAGTCAGAATCAGCTGGCCACAAGAGAGACTCATTAACATCACGCAGGTCCGTCTTTTATGAACGTGTGCATGTGAATGTGATGCTATACATACATGCACTGCATGCATGTATATACGTTAGATGTCTTTTTAGAATTGAGGACAGTTGGCCCCGTCCTGACCAACAGACCTCTGCCTTACATCTCTGTACTACACATAACTTACACTAAAAGAAGAAAGGCGGGTGTCTCCCTCCCTGTGATTTGCCTAAACACGAGGCTTCACAGTATCCCAATCTCGCACTCCATGCAACTAAGGCCAATGAGATTAAAGCTGGAGAAACACTCTCAAATTCAGTCTCATAAGAGGCTACATATTTAACCTTTTAACCTGTCTTCTTGCCAAAGCTCCTTTAGACTGAGTGACATCAATAATCATAATTATGCCATCAAACTGGGAAATCAGACTAATAAAACATCTTTGTCAAACTCATTGCCATATTTCATGATATTTCATGACCTGCATTTACTAGACCAAGTCTGCTGGTGGAGATGAGTATCAGGGGTGATTTGTAATAAAAGGACAGAAGGGAGAGTGAGAGGGGAAGTTTAAAAGATGGTAGTAAGATCTGCTTTTATGGATGGTTTCAAGTGAGTATCAGTAACAAAATAACAAGAGGCAAAGCTGGAGGTGTCAGAGTTGAAAATGCTAAGATTTTCAGGGTGACCGTTAAGAAAGGATTAGAAATGAGTATATCAGAAGAACGGTTCAGGCTGAGCAGTTTGGAGACAAGGTTAGAGAGGCAAGGACGAGATGGTTTGGACATATAAATGGTAAATGGCCTGTATTTATATAGCGCCGCACTAGTCCCTAAGGACCCCAAAGCGCTTTACACATCCAGTCATCCACCCATTCGCACACTGGTGATGGCAAGCTACATTGTAGCCACAGCCACCCTGGGGCGCACTGACAGAGGCGAGGCTGCCGGACACTGGCGCCACCGGGCCCTCTGACCACCACCAGTAGGCAACGGGTGAAGTGTCTTGCCCAAGGACACAACGACCGAGACTGTCCAAGCCGGGGCTCGAACCGGCAACCTTCCGATTACAAGGCGAACTCACAACTCTTGAGCCACGATCGCCCACAAAAAAAAAAAATATATATACAGAGGAAAGACCACAGAGAAGATTCATGGATGCAGGGAAGGAGGGTTAGTGTGACAGAAGAGGATGCTAGGGGTAGGGTGAGATGAGGGCTGATGACTTACTCACATAAGTTACTGTGCTGACCCCTAAAGACAGCAGCCAAAAAAAAAGTAAGAGTACCTGGACCAGTAGGACCCGGGTGGATGCGTCTGACTCGTTATCTATGACAGTTTTATACTCACTCGAGAGTTACTTCCAGTTGATGAAACAGCTATTTTTCATTTATGCTATCGAACACAAAAAACTTTCTTAGTCTTCTGGTGGTGATATGAAATGCTGAAGTATCTCTGTATATTTATACCTTGAAGACAAACAGGTTTATCTTGGTAGACTGCTTGTGTTTCCTCTATGGGAGCCAAGGGTTCAAATCTGGTCTATTCCTGCATCTAAATATAGTGCAGAAGCAGACACCAATGTTAAAGTGTGATACTGATCACACAGGCCTCTGTTAAGAAGCTCTGCATGGTGCTACGCTGTCTGACCCACCCATCTTTAACGTTATGTTTAATATTTTTTTGCCTGCACACTGATTAGATTTCAGAAAAACGTGCCTCACCAGGTAACAAGCGCATAGAAAGGTACTGCATCAAGTAAACAAGGATGAATAAAAACCACATAGATAATCTTTACTGCATGGCAATGACAGACATATCCTAAATTACTAAATAATAAACTGCTGTCCCCTTATACGCAGTTCATTACAGTTTTATTGTGAATAATTTTCTTGAAGGACTTTCATACGATGAACAAAAAAAGAGCACCCTATGAGCATACTCTGCCAATTTGAGTAGACAAAAAAAAATTTAATCAAACGCAAAATGCATCAGTGAAATCTGTTGACTGAGAAAAATATAATTTTTTCTCTGTCATATTCTTTCAGTCCTACATGCTGAATCAAACCCACACTTTAATTCCTGCAGTTTGCATCTGTAGATCTGTGAGCCTCATTGCTCTGACGTGTTTCCTAGTTAAGTCACTCCGACTCAGGGAGCACATACAGACGGCACGGGTGAGTGCTGCCAGTGGGCAGGCATTGCAAACGGTACACAGACGATTACAGCACAGTAAATGCACCCAGATTTAGAAACTTCATTCTTGTTTTCTGCAGCCTTTCAGCATGTTTTGTTACACTCAGCTCCCTTTTGAGCCCTTCATAATATAAGTGATTCTCTGCCATTGAGAGCAGAGTTTTTAATGCTTGCTGCCAAGCTGGGTTATCCAGAGGTCTATAAATCAATAATGCTTTGACAGTGTTGACAAAACTGTGAGACTGTCATGACATCTAGGTCGAAGAACAGTAACTGTTGGACCAAAGCTTACAGAAGAAATAATTTTCATGAAAAAGGACGACGATTTCAGTGCTTTTGCACATTATTTCTTAACAGTGTCATACTCAAGCTGGAGCAAACCTACAGTCTGCGAGGAAACTCTGGCAGTAGTGGACTTAATGGATCCAGAGAGTGTCCATGCAGCATAAACAGTCTGCAGAATGAGCTGAGTGTTACTCAACACTTAATGCAGTCGTTTGCTGACTTGGCAAACAATAAATGTCATAGAATGAGTTCTAATATAATATGTGACAGGGAAGTAGAGACAGGCTGAGAGGCAGATGGATAGGAAGCAAACTGTGGTGCTCATCTCAGACTCAAATCACCGATGGTTACAAACTGCAGCAGCCTGTTCGCATTAAATATGGCATGGATAATTGATGGGCTTTGGACATTAAATCTGTCCTAGGTGCATACACTGCATGTGTATGAGTGCGTGTGCATGTTGTGTTCCTGTGTAGGCATGTGTGTGCCTGTGTGTGTCTGTGTGTAATTGATGGGGCTTGGACAGGGATACTGGCAGACCACCAAAGGAAGTCAGGGACACTCTGCCAGGGTCTTGCAGGCTCCGAAAAAAATATATGCATCGATCTTGCCAAGCTTCTTATCCCCTGCACCTTTACCTGCAGAATCACTATTTAAGAATTATACCTTCACTCAGAAATAAGTTAGATGGTCATGTATGTACAGCCACACGCATGCAAACACACTGTTGTATGAATATAACCAAATGTGCTGTCTCCTGAGATCATGATTATGATAATGTCTTCACCAATATGGTGATGCAAACTGACGGAGAGGAAGACGTGCTGCTCAGCCTGATGGCTTTTAGGGTATTTTGGCAGGTACCTCTGTGACTGATTTTCTGAGTGCTATAGCATCACAACTGTGCTACATATAGTCACAAAACTGCAAGTATGTAGTTGGGTTGTGGATATGTTTAGTCTGATCCATGAGTACTGAGAAAATGACACTTTAATTTGTCCCACAGCACAGTGTGTCTGTTTAATGTATTTTTGACTTCCATGTATCTTTACATAATGTACAAAAATATAATCATTGACACACAAGGCTGGGGTTTGATAATTCATCGCAGCTGGCTGGTTATCCAGCAGTTGTGCTCTGTGATACTAACCAATAACACTAACAGTTATGGGATCTCTGCATTTTCTTGAATAAATAATTTCCATGGTTTTTTGTGGGCGTGAGGGAAATCGGACAGTGGAGAGTTAAGTGTGTGGCAGGGATAAAGATTTATCGAGCTGATTTAAAAGTATGACCAAGGCAAAGACATGGTTAGGCTGTCCCTGTCCATGGTGCTGACTGCTCCATCATCATTACCACTGTCATCAGCCTCCTCCGCTTTGAGCCTACTGGAGCTGTCTGAGTGATACTGGTTTCTGTTTCTTATCAGGCAATGCCTGAGAAAGCAGTATCTGTGTTGGAGGGGGAAAGGAAAACAAACACTTGTTTATCAGACGATATTAGTCACAGCTTCTAAACACTGATTAAAGTAGAAGAAATTGAAGCCGGGGAAGGAAAAAAAATGTCCTAACGTAAGGATAATGTTACACGACTTCAAATTCACACAGCTCTCAAGATCCAGTCGGCTGATTTGATTGAAATAAAACAGCGTTCACCCGAACCACGATAAGACACAGAAATCGGAGGCACAATAGGTAAGACATTCAGTTACAAGACGGCAATTCTCAAGCTGGATTTCTTAGAAAAACAGCAAAGGGAGGTGCACAATACATCTTGGAGCTTTTTTCATAAAGCACTCACAGAAAATGTAAAGAATTTCCTTACCTCTGTCGCCATATTGCAGTGAGTGGGTTGCGGGATCTGTCCCGTGCTGAAAACGGCAACCGTTTGCGCGTGCTGTTTGGGACAACGCAACTACAGCCCGCCGGTAACCGGTCGCCCGCGTGCACGTGTGTGTGCGTGACTGCGCGCGCTCCTGCTGGAGACTCACGGCGGGATGCGGTCACTGGTGGTTATGCTAATCTGAATTTCTGTTTATCCAGAATAATCTGCTTTCAGATTCAGTCACAGTTTCAGAAAGCTTTACTTTGAAGCATCAGCAGTTTATTTGGGTTAGTTTTTCCTTTTTTGCCCCCTTTTATTTTTGGGCTATATTAATAATTACATTGATTATCAATAATTCAAACAAAGTGCCCTGGCTGCTGCTTCTGTTTGTGACCAGTCAAAATGCCCAACAATCGCTTTATCTTAGTCCTGTTTCTACAGCGTGGAGTATTAATAATAATGATGATAAAAATGGTCATTGGGTTTTAGATCATCACATTGAATGATAAAGTGATTCCACTGGGAATATTACAGCAAAGTTTTTTTTTTAAACAGATGACTCACTCTTAACTGCTAGTATGCAGAAATACTTCTGTTCAGTCATACTGTACCCTGTTTTCATATCTAGGCACTGCTTATACTCTTATCTGATTAAGGGAGACTGGTTATGATGGAGATATGAATCATACTGTAGTCCATATGTCAAATGCACCATCAAGATATACTCGTATTCAACATTTCTCATTCAGAGCCCATTCAGATGCACCGCATTGCTGCATTTTTCCCTTCAAGAAATAGAAAATTCTTCCACATCATGGACACACCGAGGTCTTACCTGGGGTGAATTATTTAGAAGGTTGGCTTAAAATTCAAAAATGCAACTAAAATGTGGTAGCATGATAAAGACTTATATGTTTGTGCTACTGAAAATGTTTTTCTTTAGATAAAAATGAGAGAATGAAGAACTACAGGGAGTAAAAAGACTTTGTTTGACACCATGAATGCAGTCTGCTGAAATGAACGACTTCTCCAAGGCTTACATTGCATCCCTGGCAAACTCCCTCAAATCAAACACAGGCAATGCAAACACACATTATATTTAGAAAGACACAACAGCAAGCAACTCTTGTGAATGGAAACAGAATCCAAAAATAAGACAGGAGTGCTCTAGCAAAAAGAAAATTATATAAAACTAATATTATCTGCCAAGATCCTACTGCTTGCTCCAGATTGCTTGAAAAGATGTGTATCTAATCACACACTGGCACAGATTCCTTTGGGCTGTGTTTATTTATATCCACATTCACATGTTTTGTTTGCATGTGAATCTGTGTGTGTGTTCTCCATATGACAGTCTCTGATATATCTTAAGCTCAGTCACATGTACACGTTATTAGGCACGCATTTGCCTGAGCTGAAACACCCTATTATTCAGCTGATGCGGTTTTTAGTGTAAATATTTAATTTATGTGCATATTGAAGTGGAATACATTGCAGTGAAACTCCTACACTGCAACACGAAGAAATGCCCATCACACACCCGAATACAGGTGACTTTAAAAAATCTTGAAGAAACATAAAAAAAGAATATCTAATGCATATTTAATGCATTATCTGATTTGTCAACATCACAAAGCTAAATTTTGACACAGTTTTAAACCTAAATAATCCCAAATAGGAGCAGATTTATTTATTTATTGTATCCTTTGTGATTGCAATCCTAGAAGATGAGGGGACTCCCCAAAACACTTGTCTGTGGTAGACATTGGATCATTGCATATAACACAAGTATTCAACAACAACAAGAAAACCCTCAAAAAGGGAAAGGTTTTGCAGGTGGTCCTCACAGACTGTTTCTCTCTCCTATCTCTTCTGACTTATTTTTATGGGTTTTGGTTTGTGTTCGTGTTCACTGTCACTACTGCTAGCATGATGGTACATGCACCCCCATGTAGTCCAGCCCCTCCAGGATGGCAGATCCAAATGTGCCGTTGCAAGAAGGTCTCCCAGCACAGTCTAAAGAATGTGGAAGAGATGGACCACACCAGCAGGACCGGTATCTACGCCTCAGTACAAGAAAGTAAAGGAGGAGCACTGGCAGAGTCCTCTACGATGACCTCTGATGGGCTACTTTAGCATTTTTCTGACAAACAGACTCCATGGGGCACGTGAGAGCTCAACATCCCATGTTTTGTGAGACCTGTGCTCACAGACCAGTACTGTGCAGGTCAAGTTGAATTCACTCGCAGACACTGGCACTTGCAGGTCTACCAGTGGTGCCTTACTTTCTTTATAGATGAGAGCATATGTACTCTGAGCACATTTGACAGACATCAAAGAATCTGTGGCAAACATTATGCTGCTTGCAACATCATCTCTAATGATTTGTAATGACCTGTATTGAATTAATGGTCTAACATAACCAAACTATGCTGTGCCATGGCTAAGAAGGAAGGTGTGGCTGGGATGATGTGATGTTGTTGCGGACAGCTGTGGTGGCTATTTTGTGCTTTTGTGAGCATTTATATTTGATCACAGGATTGACACATATGTACTGATATGCTAAGATGACTGAGATAGGAAAGCTATTGGGATTTGAGCTGTCTTTTGGGTTTTCAGCGGATATAAGCGAGCTGTAGAAAATTACAGGGTTGTTGCGTTAAACCTTCCATCATGGCTGAACATATGCATTCCTATTCATATTGAGAAAGTAATGAAAGAAGACGTCTTCATATAATATCTCACTCTGCTATTTCAGTGTGAGTCTAAATCAACACTTCAGCAGAAAATAATAAGGTTGCCACAGCCCTAAATTATCATAATGACCCATAGTGCTGTACATAGACACACACTGACCGCACACAAATATTGTCTTTTTCACTTTTCGTATTTCATGAAATATTTATTTCAGCAAGACATTCTTGGTTTCTGCCTCGCTCCAGAACTGCCAGTTTCTATTTGGACCCTGTGCTGTGAAATGTTGAAGATGGTGATACTGACCCTGCAATGAAAAGGAAAATAAGAGCTTAAGAAAACATCAGCTATTTTTTTTCTCTTCCCATGTCCTTAAACTTGCAGTGTTAAGGTAGAATTAAACACTTTGTCAGGGTTTCTTGGTTAAAGTGGTTTTGACTTGTCAGGTTAATCAAATCATCACCTGCAATGTGGAAGAGTGACCAGTACATTGCATATGACATGACATGTGAATGGACAAAAAAATAAGCACTAACGATTTTTAGTCCCCATGCACTTATTAACATCCCAGTTTGAATAACACTGTGCTTGAGCATTATGTTTGGCTCACTGCTACACAAATCAGTTTGTTGGTGTGCTTGGTTGCTGTCATGAAAGTCTTGTCTTTATTTGTGCCTTTTAATGCATGTGTGTGTCACTGGATTTGTGACTGTGTTGTCCTGAAATGCCAGTACATAAAAGTGTTAGTACAGACTTTCACTTTACTCTTGTGCGTCTCTCATGCTACCTCTACAAGGGTGTAATGCATGCAACTTGCGCTCATGCATGCCGTATTTTGTATCTCCAGCACATCTGGGCTCAGTGCCATTGCAAACACCCTTCTCTATTGACTTAACCACAAGTTGAGAATCTCTCTCACACACACTTATGCACAGAATTGGGCTGTAAGACAGTCAAAGAGATCCTGTTCTCTTCCAACATGACAGGAAATGAGAACACTCAACCCAAAAAAATATATTAACTTGGAATCTATAAAAGCAAATAAACATCTTCTCAAATGCCTCCCAACATTTTGGATAGTCAAATGAAATAAAGCTCGACAAGTTGTCTTTTTCAGTCTGCCACACATCCTCAATCTTTTGTAAGAACCCATTGGCTTATGTAGTGTCTTTTTGGCCTCTCAGCAATTGGTCTGGTTCTGCTAGCAATCGGATCTGAGTCAAAGACTTTTCCATTTTAAAGCCAGAGGATGTTCTCATATCTGATGTCAATGCTGGCTAGGTAACTCCCACATATTAAGCTAGTATATGGGAGATTCACATGTCATTGTTGTAACACAACTCTAAGCAGACATTCAGGAGGAAAATGCTTATTCTGAGTGAAGTTAAAAGAAAGGAGCTGATGAATAGAATTATAAGAAAGGAAGAGGCTTATTATTACAGACAGAGGGGAGGAAGCTGTGATTCAGAGTATCCAGGCCTTTGTTTCTTCTTGCTGAGAAATAACAAGAACTGGGTGGCAGACAGATAAACGAAAGAGGCTGACAACTTTGCATGTTCCCAATTATGTTGTGCTTGAGCCAAAGTACAAACAGAAGAAATAAGAAACATCCTTGTTATAAAATGCAGAATCTTCAATAACATAAAATGTCATACTCAAGGGCTTGAATGGGGCAATACAAAGAAATAATCCATCTGTATAGAGATATGCATTCATTCCCAGACAGGCTAAAAATATTTCAATAAGGAAAGATTATAAGAAGGAGCTGAACATGATTTATTGATGTATAGAATTCAATATGAGGTATTTGGCGCTTAGACTCTGATGGCCCATTACAGCAGAACAGAATCCCAGCGGTGATAGAGATTAGGACAGGAGTGTAGATGCTTTTGATGGAGATGAAGATGGCGGATTGAATGATGAGGAAGAGGCGGTGATGGGGAGGAAGTGGGTTGCATCTGCAAGGAAGAAAAACAGATGCGCAGTGAGATTTAACATAGTTGAAGTGTTGAAGGCAAATTGGCCTAAAGAAGGCCGGCAGTGTGTGAAAGTGGAAGTGATGTAAAGTTTAAATTAGCCGCCAACACCTGAGAAACAGACAGGTGTATGACTACAGATCTTCCTTATTGAACTTACGCGTAAGCTTTATTAGAATAGAACTGAATAGGACATTTGGGATGAGAGAATGACATGCCAGAAGCATACAAAAGATTTTCATGTAATATATTTCAGATCAAGGGGAAACACATCAGCATTACTGAGGTGCTCTGAGCTATCCGACACAGAGGTTGCAAAGGAAGAAAGAAGGGTGAGTGATGGGAAGGGAGCGAAGTCAAACAGAATACAAAAAGGTAGAGAGGATGCATTTTTGTGCATGTAATCCCGCATGAGCAACAATACAGTTAATTTAGCGGTGAGGAAGATAATAACATGCAACAAATGAAATTC